TTCTGGTGACGCTCCAGCAGCGCCTCCACCACGTAGCACTTCTACCGCTGTAGCCGAGCAGCCTGCTGCAACTTCTTCGGAGCAGACTTTTCAACAGCTTTTTTCATCATTGCAACAACAGCAGCAGCCTCCAGCGACACAACAAGATGCAACACAGAACGATACTACCGGACTTAAAATGGATCCAACAACGATGATGGCAGCTTTGTACTACGCATCGACGAAGCAGCAAAAGATTAGGCCTCAAATGCAAGGGCATTGGGCGGCAACATTGAAGAACATGAACAACAGCAATTGACGCGGCACGAACATGAGTTTTGATGAAAAAAGTTACAGGATGCACAAATGTTTTCTCTTCAAATATTGAGTAGTATCCTTAACTTGCGAAACGTTTTTTCCTTAATCAGAAAGTCACTCCTTATTGAGAAGGCACACCTGAACAAGGGAAAGTGCTCATGTATATTTAAATCAAAAACCTTTTAAGCAAGAATACTGAGTTTCCTTCCAACGCACAAAAATTGCCTCTCCTTTTGGTGCTTCACATTTCCCCCTCCCCCCCAAATTACCATGCTGAAGTGTTTCCATACTCTCCTCAGGGCGCTAATTTGGGGGGGGGGGGGGGGGGGTCGCAAAATTTTTGGAGGTGTTTTGGAAATAAGAGTGCTACAGAGGCGTCGCTAAGTGTCCTGCGATGTAGTGGGAGGCGTCGATCAAGAATAATATTACGTGCGAGAGACGTTTAGAAATAGGCACTCTGTAATAATGAGCGATAGCGAGTGCGCTCGCTCTGGCGCTGAAAGTGCGGCTGTACCACCATGGCGCGGAGACCAATGGACGGAGGCAAGTTCGGACTCTATCGCAATGCTATCGCCTAGTAATCGTGAAGAGCGGCCGAACATAGCGGATCTGTTAGACGAGATTAGCAGAAATAGAGAAGTGCAGGCGTCTGGTCAAGGTGAGACTGCGGCTGCAGCTGCAAGCGCTTCTGCTGTTTCATCGTCTGCAGGTCCCGCGTCGGCTACCGCTGCTGGAAGCCTTCAGTCGTCACCTGCTGTCTCAGTGTCTGGAGTGCCTGCCAGTGAAGCGTCTGCTCCCGTGAGCGTGGCAGCGGAAGCAAAGGGAAGTGGTGGCTGTGGGTCCTCTTCGC